AGGGGATGTGGGTTCGTGCCCCGGTCCGGGAGGATCCCGTGTGCCGCGGAGCGGCTGGGCCCGTGAGCCATGGCCGCTGAGCCTGCGCGTTCGGAGCCTGTGCTCCGCGGCGGGGGAGGCCACAGCAGTGAGAGGCCCGCATATTGCAAAAAAAAAAACTGTGATAAAACTAGGAATAGAAGTTATCTTCCTCGAATAGATAAAATGAGTCCTGACAATAGTTATTATTAAAATCAAATTAATTAATGGTAGAATATTGACTGTCTTTCCTCTATAAACTATAAACAAGGCATGGATGCTCACTTCATTCAGCATTGTAATCCAGATGCTGTTTTGTTCCATAAGGCAATAAAAGCATTAAAATGGAAAGGAAGAAGTAAAATTGGACTTTATTCACAGAGGGCATTGTTTAGTAAGTAGAATATCTAATGGCACCTAAAAAATAATTTAGAGATATTTTTTGAGCATAATAGGATCATATGATACAAGGTCTAATTATATCAACTAATTATATTTCTATAACTAGAAAAGTTGGGCATATAAATTTAAGAAAACAATATAATAGTATTATTTGTAATAACAAAAATTATTTTAAAATAATTTTATTGAAATATATGTGAGACCTGTATAAGAGAACTAAAGAAAAACAAATTCCTCAGGAAAATTAAAGATGAAAGGGAAAAAAAATATATACACACACACACACATATATATACACACACACACATATATCTGATTAGAAGTAAAAGAACCCTTTAAACCCACTAGAATAGCTAAAGTTAAGGATTAATGACACCAGTCATCAGCTACAATATACAGCATCTGACATGTTCAGCATCAGTGGTGGATGTACAGATGGTACAACCACTTTGGAATACCACTTGATTTTTTTTTTAATTTTTTCTTTACGGTTTTTTTTTTGATATGGACCATTTTTAAAGTCTTTATTGAATTTGTTACAACATTACTTCTGTTTTATGCCTTGGTTTTTTGGCCGCAAGACATGTGGGATCTTAGCTCCCTGACCAGGGATCGAACCCTCACCCCCTGCATTGGAAGGTGAAGTTTTAACCACTGGACCATCAGGGAAGTCCCTTGATTTTTTAAAAGTAAAGTTAAACATACACATGTTCTGTGTATGGTTCAGCATTTCCACTAGTAGGTTACCCAGGAGAAATCTCCAAAAAACTTGGGAAAAATGTTTATAGCAACTTTATTCATAATAACCCAAAACTAAAGTAACCCATAATAATCCAAAACTAAAGTGATCAACAGGAGAATGGATAAACTAAGTATGGTATATTCATGTAATGGAATACAACTCAGCCATGTAAAGGAACGTATTACTGATGTATGCAACATGGAAACATGGATGAATCCAAAAAAATATACTGAAAGAAAAAAATCCAGAAACCCAAAAGCATATATGTTATGATTTAATTTGTGTTAATTTCAAGAATAGGTAAGATTTTCTATGGTAACTTAGCAGCCATTTGTGGGGGAGGGGCAGAATGGACTGACTGGAAACTGGCAAAATGTAACTTAATGGTGTGGTTGAAAATTCTTATGTTTCTTAAGGTTGGTTAGGTTAGAGTTAGTGACAATTCAATACATTTAGTTTTATTTTTACTGAGAAGAATTTATAGGACCCCTAAAATAGCAATGATCCAAATACCATAGTTCTCACTCTCTATATAAATTTACGTATGTCATAAGCAGTTAAATCAATTTAATCTTTTAGGACTGGAGAGAATTTTTCCATTCTTTCCCCCAAGTCTAGTTCTGCTGGTGACAGCATCTCTCCCCTTGCCTCTCTGGGACAGTCAAGAAATTTTCTAGACCAGGATGCATTCAGATTCAATTCTTAAAGTTTCTTATGAAAAAAGTACGAACTCTCAGTGTATGTTTTATTGGTTTTTATTTGAAAACTATTTTTATGTGAATATAAATTTACTTCTATCCTTTTTAAAACGTCCCTCAAAAGTGTGAAGATGGTCTAATTTAATTACTGACTCTAAAAAGAAGAAGAAACACAACAATTAAGTCAAACGGTTGTTATTTTGTGATATGCCTAGTTTTTGAATTAAGGTCTTGGAATACACACACACACACACACACACACACAATAACTAATACTTCATCTTAACTAAGATTAAATGGAACACAGAAGCCACAAATCTGCCTTCACTTCAGGTCCACACATCTAAACATTCCAAAATCAGTCTCAGTGTCCGTCAGCTTTTTAATGTAAAGAAGATACACATTGTCAGCTTTGAGGAATGTAATATTACAGATTACAGTAATGTACATTACATTGTAATGTTACACATGTACAATATAGTAATTCAGTTTTAAAGGTTATGCTCCATTTATAGGTATTATAAAATATTGGCTATATTCCCTGTGTTGTACAATATATCCTTGTAGCTTAATTTATACATAATAGTTTGTACCTTTTCATCCCCTACCCCTTTATTGCCCCTCCTCACTTCCCTCTCTGCACTGGTAATCACAAGTTTGTTCTCTATATCTATGAGTCTGTTTCTTTTTTGCTATATTCACTAGTTTGTTTTATTTTTTAGATTCTATATGTAAGTGATATCATACAGTGTTTATCTTTCTCTGTGTGACTTATTTCACTTAACATAATACTCTTCAAGTCCATCTATGTTGTTGCAAATGGCACAATTTTATTCTTTTTTATGGCTGAGCAGTATTCTATTTCATATATATCCCAATATATCCTGACAACCGGCTCTGGATTTTGGGATTCTGTGTAAGATGCACAGTAAATAAGGCCACAAAGGACTTAGCAGAAAGTTTTCCAGGGACGGACTGGGGCCTGAGTCATTGTTGTATTGCTAGAGGAGTCTTGATGTAAAGGCAAAGGTCAAGAGCCACATGGTTATTTTCTTGCTGAGGGATGGCTCTATGTGTAGTATCCTGAGATTTCCTGTCTTTTTCTAACATTTTCTAGAGCAGTGTTTCTCAACCTGAGTGTATTTTGAATCTCCTCCCCCAGGGGAAATTGTGCAACGTCTGAGATATTTTTGATTGTCACAGTTGTGTGCATGTGTGTGTGTGTGCGTACGCATGTGTGCACACATACTTGCTGATACTGACATCTAGTACGTAGGGAACCACAAATGCTACTAAACATCTTATAATGCACAGGACCCCCATTCCTCCCTGCCCCCCACCCAGTCCTCAACTCCAATAAAGAGTTATCCCCCCTAAAATGTCAATAGTGCCAAGGTTAGTAAACCCTGTTTTATATCAAGGTGAATCCCTAGGCCAAGATAGTAAGAGAGGACTTATTAATGCAGCACAGGGGAGAGAAAGATAAAATGTACAGTGGATATGAGATCTGGAAGCTAATGCTGGAAGTTTTTAAAGTTCAGATTTTTAGATACCTATCTGATGCCAAATCTTTGGGCAAACCTCTTGCACTTCCCTCAGATGTCTTAGACCTATTCAGTATTAATAATGGAAGGATTGAGTTGACTGACACAACCTGAATTGAAGACAAAGGCAAGAAGAGGTGAAACTCTTGAGTTGGGTTGTTGCGATTTGGATGAATAAAGGTATTAAAGAAGATTAATTGGGCAGGGGGTGTACTGAGCTCAAAGAGGAGAATTTTCTTTATCAGGTACAAAGTTGGTAGTCATGGCACAGAAATGTAACTCTAATATTAAGTTCCTATCATTGTTAGAAGAGTTCAGAGGAAAGACAAGCAGAAAATTATTTTCTGCATCTCAAATTCTCTGTTAAGAGAATGGGAAGTTGCCACTTGAGCCTAAGGAAATATGATAATTAAGGATTTTTATGTGGGCTTCATTGGCTAACAATGAGGCCATTTGATTATGAATTCAACCGCACTTTTATTCTACAATAGCACAAGAGTTTGGGGATTACAGTAGAAAACAACATAAAGAAATAGTCATAAAACCAAAAATAGGTTTTTAACCATTATGGTGAAGTTCTTTGAAAGCTACACAATCCTCATGATAGTAGTAATGAAATCAATATTTTATTGTGCTTAAACATTTTAAAGTAAGTACAATATGATGTTATTCTGTCATGGTGTATTCCCAAGCAGAGATTACTGTGTAATAGTGAACAAGTCACTCAACATCTAAAGTAATCAGAAAAAATACAGCCAAACATTTTACTAAAGATTGTCCTTTAAAGTAGTGATTGTATTATAATGAGGTAGGCACAGGGAAGCCTGTTTTATTTTCAAGATTTGTGTTTTATCTTTTCTTTAACAGTAGTGTCCAAAGAAAACCCAGTTACACTTTCCTTTATATTTCCAGAGTTACATGCCTTTGCCTTTGTTCCATGTCTTCACAGTAAAATGGTATACATAATTGAAAGGTTTTATTTTCCTACCTCACTTTAACACAAGATAAATTAAGAATATGGACACTATTATCATCAAACTTCCCATGTCTGCATAGTCTGCTTTTCATTGCAAAGTACTTTTGCATACTCAGTATTTCTCAAGGGGATACAATTAGTGTTTAGTTGTTCTTCTTTGTGTTGGGCTGCCCCACTTACTACCAAAGGTTTAACACCCTTGACCCATGCTCTCTAAAGTTCAGCAGCACTCCTTAGTCACTGTGACAAAAAAAATGTTCTTATAAATTTCCAAATGGCCTCTAAGGAGATGATAGTTATCTGAATGTCAATCATGAATTCTTTCATTCTATATGATCCAAAATACAATATGATTAAAAAAAATGAAGAATCACATGGAAAAAGAATTATCCATAGCCATGTATATATTTTACCCAAGTGAATGAAATAGTTAAGTCTTGGATCAGAACAACTTATGATATTGCTTGAGAACATAAGTGTCTGTTAAACACACACTCTTTTGTTTGTCGGTGACATAATAATAATATAACAAACATCTCTTTACATTAAAGAGAATAAATGTAAAGTTAACTAGAGCATTTCAGTTATTTTAAAACATAAAATTTGACAAGAGGACTTACAATCCTGGTACAGACATTTCCCCCACCTGTGATTTGCCAGGACTTAAGCACTGTGAGTTCAAATTAGTGATGTTGAGAGGTGACATCATAAAGAGGCCAAGACCACTGAGAGTTAAAGGGGAAAACAGGAAGAGCCACTATTACTTGTGTTTTCCACTATTACTTGTGTTTTATGTTCTCTAATATTCAGTCTAATATTGGTGTTTACTTTCATTCATTATTACTGACTAAATACAACTGGTAGTTTAAAAATAACCAATTGATTTTACATCTTAATAAGCAGATTGTTTCAATTTTTTATATAGTTTTAATTTATTGATGAAAAGGATGAATCTAAACATTTATCTACTAAGCTTGATTGTAATCCTAACTTCCCTGACATTCATCTATCTTTTGTTAAATCATTTGCATAACTTAACATTGCCTTTTCCCATTGTAACCTTATGGGTTGCTCATAGATACAAGGTTTTAAAGAAGGCTAGGTGATTATTAAAATTACCAACATACTGACAGAGCTGAGTTAGATAATTTTAATTCTGCCTACCACTCCACCCCACTAATAGATGAATAAAAATACTACTAGAGTAATATTTGAAAATGTTGCCATTATTTAGCTCCTTTTGAGGAATTTCAACTGACATTTTTTCCCCTAAAGAGTAGTTTGTTTTCTTTTTTTAATTTTGTTGAAGTTTAGTTGATGTACAATGTTGTGTTAATTTCTGCTATACAACAAAGTGATTCAGTTATACATATGTATATCCTTTTTCACATTCTTTTCCATTATGGTTTATCACAAAATATTGAATGTAGTTTCCTGTGCTATACAGTAGAACCTTGTTTTTTATCCATCCTATATATAATAGCTTGAATCTGCTAATCCCAAACTCCCAATCCTTCCCTCCCCCATCCCCCTTGGCAACCACAAGTCTGCTGTCTATATCTTTGAGTCTGTTTCTGTTTCATAGATAAGTTCATTTGTGGCGTATTTTAGATTCCACATATGAGTGGTATCATATAGTATTTGTCTTTCTCTTTCTGACTTAACTTCACTTAGTATGATCATCTCTAGGTTCATCCATGTTGCTGCAAATGGCATTATTTCAATCTTTTTATGGCTGAGTAATATTCCATTGTGTGTGTATGTATATCACATCTTCTTTATACATTCATCTGTTGATGGACATTTAGGTTGTTTCCATGTCTTGACTATTATAAATAGTGCTGCTATGAATATAGGGGTGCATGTATCTTTTTGAATTATAGTTTTGTCTCGATATATGTCCAAAAGTGGAATTGCTAGATCATATGGAAACTCTATTTTTAGTTTTTTTGAGGAACCTCCATACTGTTCTCCATAGTGGCTGCACCAATTTACATTCCCACCAACGGTACAGGAGGGTCCTCTTTACTCCACATCCCCTCCAACATCACAGCCTCACACCATACACAAAAATAAACTCAAAATGGCTTAAAGACTTAAATATAAGACATGACACCATAAAACTCCTGGAAGAGAACATAGGCAAAACATTCTCTGGCATAAATTGAACCAGTGTTTTCTTAGGTCAGTCTCTCAAGGCAATAGAAATAAAAGCAGTGATAAACAAATGGAACCTAATCAAACTTAGATTTTGCACAGCAAAGGAAACCATAAACAAAACGAAAAGACAGCCTATGGACCGGGAGAAAATATTTGCAAATGATGCGACTGTTAAGGGCTTAATTTTCAAAATATACAAACAGCTCATACAACTCAATAACAACAGCAACAACAACAAAAAAAAACAGGCAAACAAACAACCCTGTCGAAAATGGGCAGAAGACCTAAATAGATATTTCTCCAAAGAAGACTTACAGATAGCCAATAGGCCCATGAAAAAATGCTCATCATTGCTAATTATTACAGAAATGCAAATCAAAACTACAATGAGGTACCACCTCACAGCAGTCAGAATGGCCATCATTAAAAAGTCTACAGGGGCTTCCCTAGTGGTGCACTGGTTGAGAGTCCGCCTGCCGATGCAGGGGACATGGGTTCGTGCCCCGGTCTGGGAAGATCCCACGTGCCGCAGAGTGGCTAGGCCCGTGAGCCATGGCCGCTGAGCCTGCGCATCCGGAGCCTGTACTCCGCAACGGGAGAGGCCACAACAGTGAGAGGCTCGCGTACCGCAAAAAAAAAAAAAAATGTAATAATGCTCTAAAAATTTATAACAATACACTTTTCATAATCTATGGTAAAGGCATCATCAAAAAGGTAGAAGAGACGATTTTGCAAATACTATCAAAACTCACTTTCTCAGTAGTATGCCCACTCGTGTGATGTCCTGGGGTCTCATCATCCCTTCATATACATCAGACAATCAACACTTGAAAGCTTCTTTAAAATCCAGTGGTCTGTTGGTACCAGGGATAAGGCCCAGGACCTCAACATTCCTCTTAAACACCAAACTCCCATAGTTAAACTTGAATATCCAATATAGACTCTAGCACTGTACACATAAATATATCTGAATAACAAAGGTGATTATAAAACTGCAAAATATAAATGTAATATGATGATAATACTACAGTGTAGAATTTAGCTAGGAATAAAATCACCTCCAGAGAAGCAAAGTGAAGAGACGTTTGAAATATTTACTGATTAATGATGTTTCTCACATAAACCAAAGTTCTGAGTATAAAAAATAAGATCTTTCTAAAAAAATCAAACAAAAACAAAATCAGATCTTTCTAATATTATAGTTACTTTTTTCAAAATGAACAATATGGAACACACACACTGTTACACTTGTTATTTCTTTCTTATATTTTTTCCTTTAATTTAATTAGTGATTCTTTTTCAATTTACCAGTCTCAAGGTATCAATACGTCTGCCTAGGTCCTGTAGGATAGAACTCCCTATCAGTCCTTACGTAGCTATCTCGGCTTGGTTTCCTAACATCGGGGTTGACAAACGTTGTTTTATTTTGTTCTAGATTTGGTTTATTTCAACCCTAGTTCTCCACCATTGGTAATTTCAACAATAAAACTGGACGGTGGCACCATTTCAACTCCATTTCATATCTGGATAATGTATTTCTGGCTTTGGCTTTATTTTGGTGCCAAGTTTTAAACCACTTACAATGTGTGAACTATATAGTGGCACCAACTCACATCAATGTATCTATATTTGTGGCCTTCTTTTGGTAATATATTTATTTCTGAATTATAAATCCTTCTTTGGTGTCAACATGACTTAATTATTTATTACATTTAAGTGTATCTAATATTTCTGTGTGTTGAGAAGTTATTAGAGATTTTGTCATGTACTCAGTTCACTGCCTACCACAAGGAATATTTTCAAAAAGTGTCACTGGATTAGAAAGTAGAACTTTATTTAACTATTGAAGCAAACTTTGAATTTCCACACCAAATATGAACATGCAGGTATGGAGGGATTATCAGTAAGAAGCAACTGAAGTATCACTCTGCTTCATATAATGACTGATGCCAAAAGCAAACTTCAGAGCTCTCACTCCCCCACATCTCTCTCTCTCTCTCTCTCTCTCTCTCTCTCTCTCTCTCTCTCTCTCTCTCTCTCTCTCTCTCTCTCT